CCAGCTGCTTTATTCTTTTTGAATTAAAAAAATAAATAATAACCCAGACACAGTTGTGTTTGTATTCAGGTGATCTCCAAGCAGGAGCGTTATCACATCTCCCCCAGGGCTGGAGGCCTCGGCTGCTCTCACTCTGTTAAGGTAGTTGGTTTTTTCAATTATTTGCTAGACTTTTTATGGCTAAGCAGCATAAACAAACTCCTCCTTTAAACAGGCCTTAAGTGTTAATATTACACTCATCTTTGTGCGCATTTCAGTGCCGTAGTGCCCTGCCTGCTGAGAAGGCAGCCTGCCCGCCAAATAGACTTTGCCTATTTTGCAAAAGATCTCTGTAGTTCCAACAGCTTTATTCTTATGAAAAACTGGGGTCAGCCACAGGTTACATGAATGTGGGTTTTACACAATCTGCATAGATAGTTCTAGGCTGATGAGCTTTCGGATATAATATGGTGCCTCTGTTTAACATCACCTTAGCATCGTATGGTAGGAACTCTGTACATAGAACTGCCAAGATAGCAAAGGAGCAAAACTGGCCACGGCCCCGTGAAACACCGAAAGCCTTGTTAAACAGAGAAGTCCATCATGTGAGCTCCGATGTGATTATCTAGGGGAAGGCAGAGGATGGCGGGAGCTTCTCCCACCTGGGAGCAGAGCCATCTCTGATGGGCAGGGCTGATCAGAAGGGAAAGAAGTGGCTTCTCTGGGCCCCCAAGGAGCAAGAAGCCAGTCACCGGTCCCCATTGCCACCACCTCCCAGGGCCCTCGCCTTTGGTGTTCCCAGAGCCTCTGGCAATTCCTCCCTTCACAGCAGGCCAGCGAACACACTGGATGGACTCAAGGGGAAGCTCTCCCAGGCCTTCCCTGACATCCAGACTCCGTCCTTCACTGAGCCTGGGGTCTGTCTTTGGTGGAGGCATGAGTGGTTTGCAAAGGTCCATGGCAGTACGTCATCTGGAGAAAGAACCCAACAGCAAATCCAGCCTTCTGCTCAGGTTCCAACTGGCCACCTTTGCAAAGCGTCCCTACCAGCCCACTTTAGCAAGTCACGGCGACATCATCCTCAGTGGCAGGAGAGCACCTTTGATTCCGAGGTCTGAGTCTTCCATTCTGTCGGTGGTGTGTGTGTGACAGCAGCTCTGGGGACAGCTAGGTGGACATGGCTTCAGGCAGATGGAGTGGGTTTGGAAGAAAACTCTGGGCCCAGAGGGGAATCGGGGCTGCCAGGGCTCCCCTCTTCCACAGAGAGCAGGGAGGGCTGGTCCGAGGAGAGGAGCCGTGGGTGCTGGGGGTGTGGTGTGGGTGGGATGAGGAAGCAGGACAGTCCCAAGAGGAGTCTGAGGACCAACCCTGGACCTGCCTGCTCTTCTCCCACTGCCCTGGTTGAGGGGAGGCCCGCAGCAACCAGGGAGGGCTGAGGACAGGCCTGGACCAGGGAGCTGACTTTGGCCTCAAGTCCATCATGGCCCTTGGGACCTGGGCCAAATTACCTTGGCGCCCTCTCTGGCCTGTCTGATGGGCTATACCAGATGAGTGTTCTCTAGTTCCAACATCATATGAACCTGCGAGCCTTCTATGCTCAGAACACATGGCGCCTTGGGGAGAAGGGGCTCTGGGCAAGGGCGCCATCTGCTTGGGGAGAGCCCAAAAACACACACAAACACTGGGGCCAATCACAGGTTACATGAATGTGGGTTTTACCCATGCCTGGGCCGAGTGCAATTCTGGAGGTTTCCTCTAGTCCTTCTGCCTGGAGGTCATGCAGCACTGTTGCTGCTTCTTCCGTTTCACTGTGGTGAAGTCGAAGGCCCTGGAATGTTTAGTTGTGGCCATCAGGGACAGTCCTGAGTCCCTACATGATTTTTGTGTCTGAGTGAGGACCATGGTAGGTTGTAACTCGATTTGCTGGTGTTAGTCTGGGTGGATTCCTACTGCAGACCTCTCGCCCCCACTCGTCCTCCACAGGCTCAGGTTCCTTTCTTCCTTCTCACTCTAAGTCTACTCACACTCCCAAAGCAGCTTGCGCAGAACATTCCAGAAAGGTAACAGAACTGATCGACTTCCCTGAGAATTGTGGGCTGGCTCTAAGGGCCTACACACTCTAGCTGCTTTCTTGGGACTGTGTAACTCTCTAGGATATTTGAAATTCCCACTAGGCAGGGGGTTCAGCAGACCACAATACTGCAGCTAATAAACAAGAAGGCCAGATGCCACCATGCCTGTTAACCCAGCACTTTGCGAGGCCAAGGCAGGCAATTCACCTGAGGTCAGGAGTTCAAGAACAGTCTGGCCAACATGGCAAAACCCTGTCTCTACTACAATTATAAAAATTAGCTGGGTGTGGTGGCGTGCACCTGCAATCCCAGGCACTTGGGAGGCTGAGGCAGGAAAATTGCTGAACCTGGGAGGCAGAGGTTGCAGTGAGCCAAATGGTGCCACTGCACTCCAGCCTGGGAGACAGAGTGGAACTCTTGTCTCAAAACAAATTTTTTAAAAAACAAAAATAAACGAAAGAGGCCAAGGCCCTTGTTTTTGGCCAGTGTAGATCCTGCATGCTTCTCTCGTTTGAAGATGCCCATTTGCTCTCTGTGAGTCCCCAGGGCTTCCTCTATTAGGGAGCCAGAGACTCCAAGACAGGAGCTTCCTCGACTTTGCTCCTCATTTTGCATCATCTTCTCCTTCCTCTAGTTCCAGAGGACTGAATGAAGCATGCTTCTTGTTTCCACAGTGCCTGGCTCCTGAGCGCACCCACTTCTGGGCCTGGATCTCACGGTCTCTGTCCCTGCTCTCCCCTTCCTCCCCAAGTGTCCGGGTTAAGCCTGTGCCCACCGCTGCTTTCTCACTGGTCCTCACGTTTCCTTAGGAAGCCACCACCACTCTGCCCTTGCCCTGGCCTTTCCCAGCAGCACCTGCCTGCCTTGCTACTCCCACGTCCCCACCTGGGCTGCCCTCTCCTGATCCTCCGGCGGCCTCTCTGCCTCTTCCTCCACTCCCAGTGCCGAATTCCTCAGGGTTCCATCCTCAGCCCTCCTCTCTCCTAATTCCTGGTCATCAATTTACTCCATTAGCCTAAGAGCAGGTCTCGTAATTTGGCTCTCGAGTCCCTGCCTCTGTTCAGACTGATTTCCAACATCCAGTGACCACTTCCCCCAGCCCTTCTACCTGAATCCCAAGTCTATTCGTGCACTGTTAAAATTTAGCTAGTGGGTTGTTTCTCCAACAGACAGGGCTGTATGTATCCAGCAGGTTATAAATTCATAGGCTTCCAGCAATTTTTATCATGTGTCAGATTTCACTCTGAGAACTGGAATTTCAGTCTAAGCTGGAAAGCCCATGTCGTCATTCTTGGTCCCCCCTTTATAAAAACACTATTGGTTAGGGGAACTTCAAAGCGAAGAAAATAATCCTGATTCTCACAAATTAAATATTACATCAACTTTCAGGTTAAGATAAAATTCTTAAGTCTATCGTTTGGACACTTCCATTTCAACTTAAGAACAATTGTAAGAACATAAACTCAGGGACTCACAAAATATTCTAAATGACACTGGAATGTGTTCACAATTTTGTACTCAATTTCCCTAAAATCTCCACCTTTCTAACACCAAACGCAGCCTAGCTTTATGAATTGGAACTTGGCAGGCAGGCTTTCCTTAATTTCAGGAGCAGAGGGTCACTATGAACAATTTTCCCTTCTTTTCTCATTTCACAATCTAGAATCTGCTCACCTGAAAATTAAGCCCAGTGTGTTACCATGTGCACAAATCAAAAGCCTTTGCTAGCCCTTAGGAAACCCAATCAAGTGCCCACTGGCACCCTCCTCGGGCTCTCATGGCTCCATAGGTTTTCCTTGGGGGTGCCATCAGCTGGGAAAAAAAGATTCCCAGTGTCTTGAAGAGATGTGGGAGTTCTCAGTTATTCAAACTTCTGTGGGGGATGTTTGTGTTAATATTTGCAGGAAGCAAGAGTGGGTGAGCAACACAAACCCCAGTAAGAAAACATGGCCAAGCGTGAAAAGGCAGACGTGTGTGTGTGTGTGTGTGTGTGTGTGTGTGTGTATGACTGTCTGGGGTGGTGATGGAGGGAAAAGGGCCTGGCAGTTGCATGACAAGGATGGAGAATCACGGGCCACCATGCAAAGGTGAGGACTTGGCAGCTATAAGGAACTGGGAAAGAGAATCAACCAAGCCTGTGGTTGTCTCCCAGCTCTGCCACGATTTAGGTCCTCAATCCTCTACTGTCTAAGCGAAACAACCAACATAAAGGTCACTGAGGTTCCTGTGGGCAGCGCAAAGGTCTCTGAAATACAATCACATTCCTAACAGAATCCTGATTAGCAAATGATTAGCAAACAACAAGAAGTGCTGGCGGGTGTGAACTGAGGCCTCTAATTAGCTACTTGCAAAGGGGCTATTGGGCTATTGGCTGCCTGTCTCCAAGGGAGACCTCTGCCTCTGGTTTGATTTTACTTGGCTAGGTGCTGTCTGAAGGGGCAGCCTGGAGGAGAAGGTGTATTTTTGGTGTTCTCTCCCTGTGCCCCTTTGCACAGGGAACACAGTGGGTGAAGTTTGATTTGCCTCGAGGTCAGACCCATACAGCTTTCCTTAGCACTCTCAAGTCTTGACTGCAGCCTGGTAAGTGAATGAAGTCAGGGACGTCCCCACCACTGTCAACTGTTCCTTACAACCTGAGAAGGTGCAATTCAGATTCAGGAGAGGCTTGTGCGTGGGACCAGCTGGGCTCCAAGAAACTCACCTCGACCCCATTTCTGAGCAGCTCAGTGGCCCCAGGCAGCCTCAGTGAGGTCTGCACAGGTAATGCCACTGACCTGGGGTGTTCTGTGGGCAGTGCTACTTGCAGGAACAAAAGCGCTTCACTCACTTCAAACAAGCACCTGTCTTCTGAAGAAAGATGAGCAGTGTGGAGGATTTGGTTGAGTGGTGAATGCACAGCCTGGAACAAGGCTTTATTTGTACTAGTCCGATACAAAAAAAACTGAAGAGTAAAACACATTAAAAACTTTATTATAAGTATCAACATCTAAATTTGCATCAATTTGATACATCACTGCTCATTTTGCAGAACATAACAGTTGCACATTGCAAGAGTCAACTTGCTTCCGGTCTTTTCATGCTCATGGTGGTCCACCCCTGCCTTTCCTCTCCCTGACCTCAGCCCCGTCCTCCGCAGCGTGCCTTGCCTCCTGCTGCCGCAGGTTCAAGACCCAAGCCCTGGGGGGAACCTGCTGCCAGAGGGGCTGGCTGGCTGCGAGCTGGGAGGGCCAGACAGTTAGCCTGCCACAGGGACTGTGGGGCAGGCTAAGGATCATTTTTCCTCTTCCCGGGCTGAGCCTGTGTCAGCCACAAAGTTCCCTAGTCAGCCCATGCAGCTTCAGAAAGCCTGCTGTTCTTCCTCTCCATCCCATTCCTAGTGGCCAACTCTGGATATTCTGAGCAAAATTAACCCAAGTTTCACGGAGAACTCCAGCACCTTGAACCAGCACATGGTTATCACCATTCTTTGTTACCAGATGCAGGAGAAGGTACTGGCCTGGAAGAGCATGGAGGAAAACTCAACTCTCCGTTTCTCCCTCATCCCCCAGGAGATTTGAAAACAAGTTTGAGAGAAAAAAAACCAGTAACTAAAAAAGTCCATGAAGAAAGATCTGACAAGTCCTTTGTTAAATAACATTACTCTCCCCCATCACGACGCAGGAAATGACGTGTTACACAGTAAGAGGGTCACAGCAATTCCCCATCTGGAGTACCATTCAACTGCCTGCAGAAATCTTCCATTTTAATGTATTTTAAACACATTCAAAACAAGTAATGACTCTCCAACCTAGGGAAAATGCCCAATAAAAAAATATAGATAGAAAATACATGCTAATGTAATGGCAAACTTATTTCGATGCTATAATGGCAACAGTCTTGGGGTTGAGGGTGGGGGTGTGGTGGAACCTCCCTCTGCCCACAGGAACATCAGCACCAGAGGTGCTCGGTTCCCAGGCTGATCTGATGGTGGGACCATGCACTGTCAGTCAGTGGCCAGTCCGGTCCCAGTGCTGGCCTGGGACTATCAGTGCTGCAGCAGGAAGTTGGTGGCAACGTTGAGGTCATTGTTTGAAGCTCTGAGGGCTTCCAAAGCATCACCTCTGGAAAATCCCATTTCCATGAGCCGGGCGACCTGCAGGCAGAGAAAAAGCAGAAACCAGAGGTGCTGACGACACTGCTGCTTATCCCCAGGCCCCAAATGTTCTTCACGTGAGCCTTGTGACAAAGGTCAAACCTGCTTACAAAAAAACCAACTAATTTTCATTTCAGTATGAAATCTGATACTTAAAAAGTTATGCCAGGTACAAATTTTTCAATGCTCACTATGTGTAGCCAAAATATATGCATTATCACACATAACCCTCATTCTACAGACAAGGACATGGGGCTTCTGAGGGTAACATGGCCTGCTGGGGCCAGGCCTTGGGAGCAGGTCAGCACGAGCTGCCGGGCTCACTGCCAGGTGTGCGGTGTTCGCGCCAAGGGCTTGAGACAGTTAGCGTGACTCGCCCCATCTTGGCTGCTGGACCTATCTGCACTCCCCCATCTCGAGGGCTGTCGAGCTGAGACAAAGGCCGCGGGCCGAGTCACTGAGGCAAAAACAGAATGCAAAGCAAAGGTCTGTGGTTTATGAGGACATTGTGCTGTCTGCTTTCATGCCCCCATCAGTCTCTGTGTAAGCAATAAAACTTGCTGCAATTGAGATGCCTAAGAGGGACAAGAGACCCCTGCCCATATTTTCCCTGGAGCTAAGCCTTTGATCTAACTCCTGATGGAAAACAGGATTAACAAGCCACCTTACAGGTGCCATTGTTTGTTTGCACTGTGTATCTTTGAAAAACAAACTGCTTTGTAAACTATTATCACAAGCCCCCTTAAACTGCTTTGTGAGCGGTTATCACAAGCCCCGATAACTATTTTTATGGAGTCTCTATTTCCTTTCTGTTTACCCCTTTTTCTGCTGAGATAAAGTGAATGTAAATGTAACAAGAAAAATGGTATAAAAGCTGTAACCCACAAGAATAAATTTGCTGCGTTTTGACCATAATTTTCACGCAGACCTCCAGACTCCACTTCACTATTTTCTTTCACTTCCGCGCACTCTCTCCCTCAGGTTGAACGAGACATCTACATTGGCGGTCTCGGGGACTCCCTCAGGTTGGTAGCCCCCCGGCAGACGTGCCGGACCCCAACAGCCAGGATGTGTCAAGTTTGATTCCTGATGACACGTGCTCAGCCCTGGTGTCACAGTGCCACACAACTGCCTGCCTTTGGGTGCTCGGACCACTTTGGCAGCTGTCCTGCTCGCAACCTGGGGCTTATGCAGGCAGCAAAGTGAGGCTAAGCCTGGGGCAGTGACCGAGGGAAAGAGGCAGCAAAAGCCACCAGAAGCAGGGAGGAGCAGGCGTGCATTGTTTTTGACCACAAATCCTGATTCTGTGAATATGGAGGTTTCCTGTACTTTTCTTTACTGGCGGTGTCCAGTACTGAAATTGGCAGTGTTACTAAAGCTTAGTTACAACCTTTTTTCCCAATCAAGAATGTATTACAAAAATATTTATGGCCCCAGACTGCCACAGAAATACTTTTTGTACTTATTTTAAAATAAACTGCACTTGCAATAAACATCTCATAAAAGTCAAGGTCTTGTACATGTTGAGTTTTTCAGCCATGTGCGCATTAAAGAGACTTTTGTGGGTTCATCTGAGGACTTAGTCAGAGTTTCCAATTTTGCTTTCTGAAGGAGAGCGAGGTACTTGGTGCTACATGGTGGAAAGAGAAGGGGCCCAGTATCACTGCCCTTCCCCCTGCTCAAAAGACTCGGTGGGGGGTGTTAGTGGGGACTGTGGCGTGGAGTGGCTGGAAAAGGGGCCGGGCATGGATCTTGGGGGGGGGGGGCTCAGTAATGGAGGCCCCAGCAAGGTGAGGAAGAAGGCACACAGAGGAGAGAGACAGGTGGGGTAGGGGACCCCCATGACCGCCCAGGCCTAGACACCCAGACCTCTCCTCCCCTAAACGCCTTAGGGAAGAGCTGAGGACAAACAGGGACACACAGAGGAGGCTGCTCAGAAGCTGAGTCCAGCTAGGGCTTTTTCAAATGGAGGGTGCTGCTCATGTCATGGGTGGGTCATGACCACTTAGGGGGTGAGGACTAGGCTTATAAATGCGCAAAGTGAGTGTGATCCCCCCGGAACATCTCTTTCAACCCTTAGCACAGGGATAGATGCACAGCCCTGGCCAGGAAGCCAAGAAGGGCTGCAGGTGTCTTCTCAAGGCCTTGCGGTGGGGAGAGCTGTCCCTGGGGCAGCAAGAGGCCCAGCACCTGGGAAACTATGGTGCCCCAGGTGACTCATGCTCAGCTGCCTGGGGCTGGTGGACAGCGTATAGGAAAGGCAGGAGCGGCATTTTCCAGAACATCAGCTGTGGCCGAGTGCTCTGGCCTTGCTGCCAGGTGGCTGAGAACGCTGCCACCCAGAGCCACTGCCATCCAGGTGTTCTGCCTCTTATGAGCTGCCACCCGCGAGACATCACAGCTTCAAACCCATTTCACTGTACTATCATTATCCATTCTGCATGTCACCAACATCTCTCGTAAGCTGATGAGATGTTGTCAAAGGTCTTAGTGATAGCCTGCCAACCTAGACAGCTCCTTCGAGCCCAGTCTCCTCCCATTTGTGCACACCATCTCAGAATACTGTCCCCAGAACCGAGTGTGACACCACGGGTGTGGTCTCACCAGGGCAACGAGCAGTGTCCTAGACCACAGCTATCTTTTCAACATTCACAAATCATCTATTTAATAATAATCTGTTTAGGCTTTTGCCAGACGTGAAACTTCCATTCTGCCATTCAGTTCTCAGAATTCACACATTCCTTTTCCTTAGGAACATTTTCAAGCTAAGTGTTCCTTCCTGTGAGTCCTCAAGCCTCCATCAGGTTGTGTGGGGAGGGGGCTGGAGGACTTGGGTTGGATATGTGTCATGTGGAAGGAAAACTCTCTGATCAAGGTGGTCTTTCCAGGCTTGGGTTGAAGTAACCTTTGCGATGTTTACTACAGTTACTTCCAGTTAAGGACGACTGTCATTGGTGGAGATAACCCCAGGTTGGGAGCTGGCCTGCCTTCCTTCCACCTATCTACCACCATGATGCCATGGCCCCTCAAACAACTTGGCCACTCTTAATTGCATTTATTTAAATGGCTTGGAAAAGCTACCTTTACTACTGCCTGCAGTACTTCAAGCACAGCTGAGGACTGGCTGCTTCTTTGCATCCGGCCAGCAGGAACAAATCCATTTGCTGTCCACACTCAGCATTTTGGAGATTTGGCAAATCATGATTCATAATCTGGAGTGATGACATGTGACTTTAGGCTACAGTTCCACCTGGCACTTGACTCTCCTCCCTCCACTGACAATGCATTTGGTTTGGAATCCAGAGGGTGCTGATAACGGGCTGGCCACACACAGGCCACCAAGACAGGGCAGCAATACCGATTACACGTAGGTCCTGCCCTGGAGAGGAAGAACCCCTTAGGTCTGGGATGGCTGGGCTGGGTTGTAAGTCATGTAGGTGGCATCCTGGAGTGAGAATGAAAGCCTTCTCTGTACACGAGACTTCCTTCTGAGTTCCTCCTCCCTCAGACATGGACTCGTGGTGTTGTGGTGCTGGTTTTGACAACCAAGACTGGCTTTTCACAGGTCTTGGCAGAAGAGAGTGTTTTCTGTCACAAGCTTGCAGCCGGCTGGCTCTTCATCCTCTGAGGGGCAGATCATGCCCCTTTAGCCAAAGCTGGCTTCAGAGCTTTATGCAGTTTTTATGGGTGAGAAGACAAGTTTGAGGGAAGAACTTTCATTGCCCACTGACCTGGTATTTTCACCAGATTAAAAACAACTGTTAAGTAGTAATAATGTTAGCACAGTTCTTTAAAATCAGAAATAATTACACTAAGAAAGAGTACCTGAAAGGTCCCCCTAGTGTCCAAAACCAAACATCAATGGAGAAACGAAACTGCATGCTTGGGCTTGGGTATGCAGGAATGCAACCAGCCAGCAAGGACGAGAAGGGTCAGGGGGTAGGTGTTCTGATGGGTGCTGACCCAGCACTCCCTAGTGGAGGTGCAGTGCAGTGCTCACAGCCCTGCAAGTTAGCCAAGCGGCCCCTGGTGTCCTTTATGTAGTATAGTGGTTCACCATACACAAAACTAGCAGCACAGAGAACACTTGTCTGCAGGCCTCTTTCGTGGATGCTAAAAATTACTGCTGTATCTTCCTATTCACGTGCTCAGAGAAGACCAACACACCCAATCCCAGCACATCGAATTACAGTCTCTCTTCGGAAAGGCTTATTTAGCCTCAATATTTATTATGGCTAAATGAATCTTACTATTTATCTGCTCAGAGAAGCCCAGCACATCCAATCCCAGCACATCTCATTACAGTCTCTCCTGGAAAAGCTTATTTAGCATCTGAAGCATCAACTCCTGTGCTCGAATTACAGAAAGACAAAATTGAGGCCTGTGCAGACCTGCAGTCAGGTTAGCAAAACACAGGCTGAGCATTCCTTATCTGAAAATTCAAAATCCAAAATGCTCCAAAATTTGAAACCTGTGAGTACCAACATGGCAGTACAAATGGAAAGCCCACACTTGACCTCATGTAATGGGCTCCAGTCAAAATGCAGGCCACAACATGTAGTTTATTCAGTGTCTCCAAGGGAAAAGAGACCCTCCCACCCTCCTTCAGCTGTGACGTGCCTTTTATGCACATGCCCAGATCCCACGCAAGCACATGCCAGTGGCGGGTTCCCCATAGTGCCCTACGTGGGGCCCAAACCCACATGCATCACTATGTTGTTTTGCTTACTTTCTGCTCTATGTTATAAAGATGTTGTTAAAACATCTAAAAGGCCTGCAGATACCTCTCTGGGTAACAGTGGTAAGAAAAAGAGGAAGCGTTAATGTTTATCTGTAGCACAGAAAGGCAAGCTGTTGGAGAAAGTGGACAGCAGTGTGAGTGTGAAATGTCTTACAGGAGAGTTAGGTGTTGGAGTGACCACCATTTAGGAACTGAAGACACGGAAGGATGAACTGTTGAAGTTCTGTGCTAAAAGTGACACACAGAAATTAATGAAAAA